CTCTGTTTCATTGAGTTCTTGTAAGGTTACACTTTTTACTGTAGTGGGTATTTCCTGCATTTGATTATTGCATCTTGCACAGGTGCAGCTGAGACATCTGTGTGCACTCTAGCTGACACTTGTCTGTGAGACAGTACCCGCCAGACACCCAGTTTCCTCCCTATTAGCTCAGACACTTTCATATTAGCAGCTTTCCTTCATCACACTACAGTAACACATACACACACACCTGCACTTAGTTGGATTTCTCAGACAGAGCAAAAAAGGGCAAGTAACCACCAGAGAGAGAGGTTTGGATAGAGTGCGAGTGAATTATAGAGAGACTTTTAAGACAGAGGAAGAGAGATGAAGGATGTGGATGTAATGTAAGTGCGAGGACATATCTGTCCCACCCTGTCTTGCAGTGCCTGGGAGCCTGGATGATGTGAGGAGGATGAGGTGAACTGTTCACAAAGAGCAGGCAGAAAATGTGAGAAATGTGCGCATTGGCTGCAGCAATGAGGGGGAGAATGCTGGCTTTTCAGGCACGCAGGGACAGCCTGCAGAGTTCTGCCAAGAAAAACACAGGGCTGTGTTCCTTGCAAGAGCTGTGGGGTTGAGCAAGGAGGGAAGGAGCAACAGAGAGCAAGGAAAGAAGGTGTGTGTGTATGGATGGAGCGAGTGCTAAAGAAGAAGACGAGGGGTTCCCTAGGGCACGTCCCTGTGCCATCACCATGTATAAGGCATGACATGATCTGGAGTGTTGATCATTAGGAGCAATCGGGATTACACAAAAAAGCTGCCACCTAGAGTTTCACAGAATGTTTCATATATTACATCTGTAAGTTCATTCTAAGTTTTCATGAAAGATAAAATCTTAAGATGTCTAATGAGCTGTCAAATAGGTAATGATCCATCTGTAAATCATATGGTGATAAGAGAGTGAGCCGAGGACAAGGCCTAGGCCCAGATGTCCACTTTCAGTGGTGCTGGCTGACCACTGCCTTGCCTGCCAACACTCAGCTGAATATCCCCTCACTGCTGCAAATATGTAAATATGTTGACTTGGAAGGATGTCCTCTTTTCTTCCAACCTTGTAGCACTTTTGGAGAGAGGCAAGACAGCAGAGAGGAGAGAAAACAGCTCCAGCGCTCCATATAAGGGCCTACTTTGGGCTTAAACACAGGCTTCTCATCACTTTCTTCTTCACTGGACCATTACACAACTGGGGGAACACACAGTACAGGAACCCTAACCTTCAACACTTCTGCACACTTGACTCGCACACACAACCTCGGTACATGGTGAAATGCCGACTTCTAGGTGTAATACTTAAATGGACACCTTGGGCAGTGTACACTCTGTTTCATACTAAAGTGAAATGATGCTTTCACTGTGGGCGGACTTCAGGCCACGCAGCTTATTATAAACACGTTCAAACTAGAAGCATGGGTGGAACGTGACTGTGAAGTTTCGATCAAGTACTGGATTGAAGCACAGTTTTAAAGGATTTGTACACTCAACACATCTGGATTAGCCTATGTTAAAACTAACATTAAAATATTTTTTAACACAAACAATTTAATAGTGCAAGTGGTCATTTTTCCTAATGAGTACGTCTTGTGATTTCATTACCTACTTAATACTGTAGTTATAAAATTTAAGTAAAGATGTTTCATGGAGTATTTTTAGTTTGTGGAATTGCTTTTACTTTAAACCACTAAAGGTATAAAGAATTTGAACATTTCTGACTTTGTCGCCCCCATGTGGTTGTATCAAAATAAAGATGGGGTGTTAACAAGCAATGCTCCATTGACACGCCCCCTCCTGTCCCCCACCAATGAGACACTGACTCTGAGACACCAAGATAAATGGGTTGAAAACAATACAAATTACATCAGCTCTGCTTCTAATTGCATATTTCTACTTTTATTCCGAGTACCTTTGAATACAGAGAGCACATCTGAGCACACACACACACACACACACACACTCATGCCTTGTTAAAGATGTATTTTAGACCAGTCACCTCTGTTTCCCAGTCAGTGTAGTATGTAGTAAGGCTGTTGCTCATCTCTGTAGAGGCACCTCCCTGCCTCTGTGCCTCCCTGTCCCCGTTGAACTCTGTGTGCCCTTTCAGGCCTGGATGAGTAAAACAGGGGAAGAGAAGACAGAGAAAGACAGAAACCTCACTCATTCTCATTTTCCAGAACTCTACCTCTTTACTTGGTATGTGTGGTTGGTTGACTGTGTGTGTGTGTGTGTGTGTGTGTGTGTAGTGGTGGGTATATTCATCCAGGCCTCTCTGGCTTGTGAGTATGGGCCTGTGGTTTGGGTCTTGGTGGAGAGTGAGGGTGAGGGTGGTGGAACACCATGGCTGCCACGCTGCCACAGACATACTGGCACCAGTGAGCCAGTACAAGTTCCTCTTTCCAAAATACGGAACCACCATTCTGTGTGTGTGTGTGTGTGGGTCAGAGGTTGTGTGTGTGTGTTAACCATCATGAGCCAGTGTGGCTTTCAGTATCTGTCTTACAATGATGAGCTTTCTTACAGATATAATTACACGTGTTTTGAATGTACAGTGGAGTCTCACAGACATGGGCAGCAAAATAACTCCAGTCTGTTTTGGTTGTCATGGATTTTGCACTTTAATTTTAAAAATGCTTGTTTTATTCAGAATCACATCAGTTCCAAAGAGGAAACATGTTGGTCCTGATGACAGTGATCTCTAAATTTCAGGTAAACAATAGCAGGTGAGGAGGTCACCCAGACTGAAGTGGTAAGGTTCAAGAAGTTGCCCTGAAGTCATACTATTTTACAGATGGTAGCACTCTTGGCAAGCTACTCCTTCTGTCAGGTCTTCTCTTTCTCCTTTTCTCCCTCTTTCTGTTTTTCTATGTGTGTGTGTGTTTCCTTTCTCCATCCCTCCCTGGGGCTGGCAGCAGTGTCTGGGCATTCGTTTCACTGCTGGCCCTGAACCCAGCAGGATGTGGACATCAGTGCTTAAGAGTGTGTGTGTGTGTGTGTGTGTGTGTGTGTGTGTGTGTGTGTGTGAGCATGGGCATGAGCTTCTGTTCTTTACCCCCCCACCCCCCACCCCCTTCTGATTTTGCGTCTTGGCTGACTTTTTTACCTCTCGAAGAATTTGGAAAGGCACTGAGATTTTTTCTCCTGCATGACTTTTAGCAGTGCTCCCTTCTCTCTCTCTCTCTCTCTCTCTCTCTCTCTCTCTCTCTCTCACTGTTCCTCTGTTGCTCTCTCATTGCCTCTCACCCTATGTCTGCTGTGGCTCCTCGCTAATAGATTTCATATGCTGCTGCAGTTGACATCAGTCTTAAACTATTTTACATGTGATCTGCGATATTTCCTCAGGAAATCTGTCAGTTATTTATTAAAGGCTAATAAAATAAACCTCTCTTGTTGTCCCTTTACCTTTCTAACTCTTGTCTTTTCTGTGCCCTTGTGTTGTGTCCCGTATTGTGTCCTGCTCTCACAGGCTGGCTTGATTCTATTATTATTATTACTCATGCTTTTTAAACTGCTTTTTTTTCAGAAGACAATTTCCTTCCATTCATAAGAAATGCTGTGGGACAGACACACACACAGGTGGGGTCTGTGTGGGCTGCTGGGGGTCTTCCCCTTCCTCTGTCTCCTTGTCCCATTGCCTTTTTAATCTGCTCTTTCGTCCCTTCTTTCCTTAAACATCCAGTTTTCCCCTTTTCATTTCCAATTATCTAGATTTAAGGTTTGGAAAGTCACTGTATTCCACGCAGTCTGACAGTATCTCAAATATTCTGTAGAAGATTGTTCCGAAGATTTGTGCATTATTTTTGCCTTTTTTTGCCAAAAATTCAGTAATATATGTTATCTTTGGAAACCGTGGAGGGACTGCCACTACAATTTGGGATTGAACATTGCTTGGCTGTACAACATGAGTTTGTAATAATAGACCCACCAGTAGGTCACTGGGGTTTAAGAGGCTATAGTATACTGCATGTACTATCTTGCTCCACTCATTTGACCCTTCCTGTTCCCTTGTCCCACTCTTTTTCCACTCCATCTTGTCCTCCAACAACTAGTGTCTCTCCATCCATATGCTCATCAGGGGCTGATGGAGCCAGGCTACCGTCATCTCTACTACACTCTGGCTTCATCCATCTCGTTCTCCATCCTCCAATCTGTCCCATACATTACCTTACAACGCCAGGCCTAGATAATCCAGCATGCCTGGAGCTGTCTGTGCATGCAACAGGAGCAACTCACTACCTTATAAAGACAAGTATTCACACTTAGCATAATGCACCACTGCACAGTGTAAAAGTTGACAGACACCACTGAAATGATACAGTAAAAGTCATGGTTTTGAACACAGGCCATGCTGTGGATATGTGCACGGTCACAGTGATGGCTAGTGTAACTAACAGCATGTTCATCTGCACAGCTGCGCAGTCAGTGTTTGTGAGGATGACTCTGCTGTGAAGACACACCGACAGTGACAGCCGAATGTTGTTCATACATTGTTTAGGTTTCTTTATTTCTTCCTGAGAGCAAAACTAATGAAGTGTGCTCTGAAGTCAGTCGCCTGTTTCCAAGATTTTATGTGTGAAGATTTGATATGAAGAGGTAACCAAGGTTTGGCAATAAGTTATGGTAGAATTACTGCTTTGAGAACAGAGTTGAAAGTCTGTATGTAATATATCAGTGTTGCCATTTGTTTTTTCTCTCTGTCATTGCCCGGAACAGCAGTGATGGAAAACAAACATCAGCACTTGGCATTCTGAACCTTTAAATTGCACACCCTCTAGCCCTCCCTCTTTTCATTTTCTCTTTCATCCTTCTCCCAACAGTGCATTCATTCGCTTCTTTCTGGGGTCCCCTGGCTGTAGTACCCATAACTCACCCTTAGACACCAACACCCACACCATGTTCTCTAACCTTTATAGAGCAGCCAAGACACAGCCAGAGAAAGGGAGAGACAGGGCAAATACTTGATCTGTTTTTCTCTCTGGGCCTCCAAGGGGAGGAAGATGGACCGGAGGACTGGGACCCGGTCCACCCTGGGCCCTACAGACGGAAACTGAAGAACGGCTTGACAGATTATTTGGGGGCGCAAAACAGGAAAGAGCACTGCCAAGATGGTGTGATAGAGACAGAGAGGGAGAGACAGATGTAGAGAGATAGCTATGGCAGAGGGTGGCTGTCTGTCTCCACAACCATCTATGTGTCTCTCTATGGTGGATTTATGTATTTGTTTGTGTCTTCTTTCTCTACTCTGAAACTTCCGTAATGCATTCCATATTTTGTGCCGTCACCAGCAAGAGTTCCCTGGCTCCCTATAGCGTTTCACTGTGTCTTTTCCTCTTCTCCATAGACTTGTCAATACTCACAGCCTACTGTAGCCCCTAATTCCACTGACTTCTATAGAGGAAATATTTTCTTTAAAATACAGAATAATTACTGAAGTATGTGATGCTTTAATTGCACATTCAGTCACACTGAAATCTTTTGGTTTGGGGTTATGGCTGCTGTGGACACTGTTGCTGGAATTTGACTGAGATATGCAGTCCTGTGTTTGGGCATATTCAGGTATGCTATCTGCTGTACAGTGATGTGGTTTTATTTGTTTTGCTGTAAACAATCTTGTTTAATGAAGAAAACGCTGTTGGACTGGCTGTTGATTAGATAGACACAATAAAACCCACTGAAACCAGGAATGGTGTATGTTTTGTGGGCAGTTTATACCAGGCTGGATTATCACCCAAACAAAGTGGGGAACTGGTCACGGACCCCAGACCACCAGGGGCCCCAGACCCAGTTCTAGTTGGTTGTTGAGGTGGTGTGTAGCTTGGAGGAAATGCAGTAGGATACTGTACAAACACAATATACAGAGGGTAAATGTGGGGGAAGCGTGCCAGAGGAGTTCAGCAAATTTAGTTTCTGAGATCAGCCAGGCTTTTAACACTGTGGTTTCAGACATAACATATTGCAAAAACACAAGGAACGCATTCCATGAGAAACTTGTGTGACTCTTTGTAAGTTCAGTCACAGGAGGTACCAGTAATCGCTCTACAACAGGGAGGGTGACTGTGGTTAGAGGCCTCTCACTATAGGTTCCACCTTGAAGGAGTGACCAGTGTGTGTAGGCATGGCTTTATCAGAATACTGAGTGCTGCAAAACAAAGGGAGTGTTTGGAGAATGGGTATGCGCTGTATTGTTAGAAATGAGTGTGACTGAGAGGTTAGATACCATATGGCAATGAAGTCATCTGGCCTGGCCCTTCTCTGGAAGCCCCACCCGAGCCCCAGGGAGAGGCTGAGGGTGCAGAGGCTGAAGAGAAAACAATTTTTTAATCGATTTTGATAACCGCCATCTAAATCAAGTCCCCTCCGCTCTCCTTCCCTCCCCTCCTGCACTCCTCCTCCACTCCCTCACCTCTGCCTCTCTCATTTATTCCACCCCACCCCAGGGTATTCTGCTTTCTTGGCAGAACACTGGAAAAAGCCACCTGCAAACCACCACCCCCTCCTTATTAACACAAATTTACACACACATGAATGCACAATGCATGCACACAAAAAAATGCAACCCTCTCAATCAGTCATACACACAAGACAAAACACACGGACATTGCAACATGCACTGTGTGTGTGTGTGCGTGTGTATGTGTGTGTGTGTGTGTGTGTGTGTGTACCAAACACTGTGTGCTGTTTCCTCTTGAGAGGCTCTTAAGTCTATTCCAAGATGTGGAGTTGTACACGTGTATAGTTTTTATCAGTACATCTGAGCCAGGGTACATGCTACTTTTTTTGTTTAAGCCGATAACTCTCTGACACACACAGAGAGCTGCTAACTCTGGCTGTGACATGAGAAACATATCTGAATCTGCCCTCTGCGCATCAAAAAATCAAGTGTGGATCCAAAATGGGATTTTCCCTCATAAATTACCTTATTTCTCTGTGACTGTCTGCACTTTCCCTCTTCTTATCCCTCTCTGCTCTGTCCCATTAACTGTGTTTATCTTTTACACCCCTTTTCCATAGCCACTTTCTGCTTTTACTACTTTTCACCCTTCTCATAGTAAAGGCACTGATGGATACCTGGATATTTAAACTGAGCCCTAAACTGTCTAGTAGTCAGGTTTACCATTTACAAACTGCAAGGACTGTAACCTGATCATACTAATATCTGTACCTGCAGGTGTCTGAGAAGACGATTGTTGATTTGATGCTCAGCACCCAAGTTTTACATTACAGCTATCAAGAGATCTGAGCTATAATCCAGAGCGTGTGTCTCAGGATGGAGTAATAATCTAAACTGTGATAAGCACCATGCCACAGCTGCATTAGTCCTTCTCTATTGTCCCTGTGATCGACGTGCCAAATTCCATATGGCCCAAGTTATGAGAAAAATGAATATTAGACTTTCCATGGTTTGAAATGTTTGGATTCCACACTGTCATCTCTTGCAGGACCCATGTCTCTGCCTGATGCACCAGAGGAGCTGTGCTGACAGAGCGGCTCAGACAACATTGTAAATGGGTCACGATGATTTGCCATGGGTCATGAGAATGAACTGACTCAATTTAGCAAAAGGCAAAGCAGAGAGTCAGAGCTCAGCGGGCCTTCGCTGGGCCACCGGCTCTGTGTAGTGTGCATAGCACGGTGTCACAAGGAGCAGGGCTGACATGCTCATGTTTGACTGATTATAAACCAGCAGTCACTGGGTAGTCTCAGCGCTCTCTTTACTGCTCGGGACAGACACATCGCCTGGTGGATGGGCCCTGTTTAGCGGAGTTAGAGCTCATCCTGGCCGTCTGCCTGGTCTGAATGGGCGCCCAGGTTAGAGGAGCTGTTTATAATAGACAGAGGTGCACCTTTATTGTGTTTACTCTTGGTTCATTTGAAGTGTGTGTCCACACACACATGGGTATGACTGAGAACTCATCAAGGGACGAGTTTATAGTTAATCTTGGATGGGTGTTTTGCTGTCAGAGCAGGTGGTGCTTGACTCCGTGCATGTGTGTGAGCGTGTACAGTAGCATTATTGTTTAGCCTGCCTGGGTCATTTTTCTCAGTGATAAACTGACACCACACAAGATAATATTCTCTAGATACTTTAACTGTGTCTAGGTGGATGTTAAGACAGATGAAAGAAGAGAGCGTCTTATACTTACATTTATCAGGGGGCCAGAAACAGGCTCCAAATGAACATTTCTTCCACTTCATATCTATTCAATGTGTAAATGGGAAACTGTTTGCTGAATGTTGGCTAAAACTAACTTTTAAGGCAATATGTCAATGGTGTGTTTCCTTTATGTGGCCAAGAACTAAATCATTTGTGTTGTTTGAAGCATTAATTCTAGGAATTTCATAAAAAGGTTGTTTTTTTTTAAACTACAAATCACAATTTTAAGATCCTGCAGACGTACACACTGCCATTCTGTCCTGAACAACAAAAGTCAAAGGACTGTTCATCACTAATTGTTTTGTCCTGTAGGGCTGGTCCACGCATAGTGTGGCCGGAGGGCAGGGACTCTGGGGAGTGGACAGGTTTCATCAGTCCCTGTGCTCCTTTGGACTGTGTCCCACAGGACACGGGGAAATGTGTAATGAATTTGCTCACGTTGGTTTGAGCACAAGAAAGTTCCACAGTGGCTCCAGCATTCTTACTGAAGCATCTGCTAATGTGATTGAGACTGGGCCCAAGTCCGAACCCAAGGCCTGCAGGTGGCCAGGGGCTTTGTTCAGGGAAAGTTGGAGGAGAATTCCCTGATAGGAATGTCAGGCCTGCAATCATCTCTCTCACTTGGTTTTGTTCTGCTGGTCGTCTGTATCGGCACTGCTTTTCTAATGAGTTGCAGTGCATAAGTGTGTGAGGACGGAGCCGTGATCATGAGAGCTGTTGTCGAAGCTTAGCGCTCGCTCTGTGAACTGGGGCAGTTGCAACCACAGAAAAACCACATGAGACCAGAAGTAGTGACGCAAGACGCACACCAGAGAAAAGCCTGGGAAACTGTGTCACTGAAAGCGCAGCAGTGCATCTTACATCCTCTTCAAGTCTGTTTGCATATTGTACTGAAACATTTTGGTACTTGTGTCAGCAAGTTACAGAGTGTATGTGCTGAGACAGTGATCCCTGTATTTCAGTCGACCCCATATTTTACTTTCCTTTCAACACATGGCACACTACCCAGTACATATTTTTTAAATTACTGAGGACAATATAAAACATATACAGACCTATGTACATATTATTGGAAGCATTATCTGTAAATCAGCACTGCAATAACTATTTAGACAAATAAATCCCCTAACTTGCCTGCAGGATGACATATTTTTGGATATTTTATTAAAAACAGAAGAATGTAACTGCAGAAATACTTGATCTATAAGATGATTCAATTATAAAGCCTGGATTAACCATATTATTCTACAGTTTTTAAAAGAGGTTATAGTAAAGATCACAGGCAGCTCCTGATGAAGTTTCCACAGGCTGGTTCATGGTCCTGCCTTACCTGCTTTTGTTGAATGACGTGATGATATTGTCTTGGAACTTAATGGGTCAAAAACCAGGGAATTAATCACTGATTTTAGGAAGTGACACACCAAAAGCAAACATTATTCATAATTTTTTTTTTTTTTTTTTT